GACCTGAAAGCCGACCAGCCGGCTGACAGAGTTTCGGTTAGATCGGGGAAGACGTGGAGAGGTTCGGAGTGTTCGAGACCACGGTCAGGAGTCAAAGTTTCCACCAGCATCGCTAATAGAAAAACCTAATATCGCCGGTGATTACATTATGACTCTAGCCACTACCGACCAACGCAAACGCATGCTTCGGACTGTGCATCGCCTCAAGCGAACCGTGTGTGCTCGCTCAGCTTCTCTCCCTTCCTCTACTCCCGCCGCGCCCGAAATCACAGACCCAGGGCCGCAGAAGACAGACAGGCTGCACCGACAACCAAGATCGCTCATCTCATCTCATCTCATCTCGCATCTGGCCTGTCCCACTGGATAAGCGCGCAAGACCAGGAGCTTTCATTGGTGACATGCGGGAGCTGCGCCCCACGGCTCACTCCTGTGATCTCCAGCGCCCGCGACGATCAGCCGGGACTCCCCTGGAAGTACATGGCCATGACTGGCTGTCTCGTTTTTCTGCTTTTCCTGCCCATGCCCTTATTTCTTGCTATGATAGCTAGACCCCTGCCACGCGAGGTTAAGGGCCCCTCGTAATCCGCCCCCGCCCCTGCTCCTCCTTGGTGCCCCTTGTATGGTTGTGTGCTGGCCCTGGTTGCTGACGTTGAACAGCGAGCCCACCGGGCGAAGGAACGAAGAAGCACGCGAGGAAGCTGGGAAGAAGGCCTTGGAGTGACGATCGTCGACGCAACCAACAGCCGCGCCCCTCCTCAGCGGGAATGTCGTCCTTCGGGGTCAGGTTGCGGTGCCTGCTTGTGCTTCTTCCCTTGTGCGTCTTGCCCTCCCACCCCCGGAACGCCCGCATAAGGTGGAGGCGTCATAATGGGCTGACATGTGTGTGTCTAGCCTTCTCGGTTACGATACATCTTGCCAACGTCCTCTGAGCGCTCGAAGGAGTAGGCCGGGGGACCAACGTCCTGCCGCCTCAGCCCACCCACAAGCCGCATCTCGTCCGCATCTCATCCGCATCGCGGCGGGTCATCGTGGCTGATTTGCTCGTTAGGTCCACACGTAGCCAATGAGCCGGTGATGACCACGGCAACAACGGTGGAGGGAGCAGTAGGAGGAGCGAGCTCTCTCTATGCCGCCGCGCCCCCTCCGATCCCATCTTGTCTAGACACCCGCCTGCCACAACGCCCAGGTTGGCAAAGCATCTAATAGCATTGATCCATGCCATTAATTGGTATCATTGGAGACGCTTCATGCCCTCGCAGGGCCTCCCCGATGCTTGGAGCCGGGCCACATCACCCAGAACAGAGAACAGACCCACGAGAGGATTGCCGTAAGCGGTAAGGTGGCCATCACGGATCCATGCATGCTGGACTGAGCATCGAGTGCATCCCGTTCATCCCATGAACGATTCCCAGGTTCATCCTTTGGGGAAGAGGCCGCACGACACAAGTGAGGCGCCCGAGTGAATGAACCGCAATGCTTGCCTCGTGCCAAATGGACGAGGGTTCAGCTCACCGCATACCTCGGATTCCCACTTCATCACGGCTCATTGCGTGGTTCATCTCATCTCGGAGCCCAGATTGACTTTCGACTCGTGCTAGTTGCCCGATCGAGATGGTGGTGGCTTGGAAATCCCGGCAGGGCCATCGTCGTCGCCATCGCCAGCGCCGTCGGTGAGAAGAAGAGACAAGGGAGCGACGCATCCACGGCGGGCTCGACTCAGGGTTCAACAGAGCACCGAGAGGGTACGCGTCCAGCCCTGCAAGTTGCCAGTGTTGCCCGTCTGGCGTGACTTTTTTCGCCCCATCTCGTCAGGCATCATGCCGGCGGCCGCATGCACGACGCAGCTCACTCCCTCTCCCACCGAAGCGCGCTCGCCGTGCAGTGTGTTGGGTAGCCATTGGCCCTCTTGTTTCTGCTTTGGACCGCCCTACCATACCCTGTCTGGTTTCTTGTGCCCTTCCATCACTCGCATCGTATCTCCAGCTCCATGGGGAGGCCCAGACCGGCCCAGATACCCCCTCCCACCAGCTCCAGCTCAGCCCAGCAACGTCAGTCACGCCGCTGTAGCAGCTCATTCCGGAATCTCGACGAGCTTGGTACAGGGAACACAAACAACGACCCTCGTTCGCGATGGCGGCTCGCGGACAGCCCAACATGTGATCCCGGAGTTTGGGGATGTCACGGGAAGCTTATTCGCTCCAATCACCTGTCACGCGCTCTGCTTTTCCAACGCGTCCCTACGCTCCATCCACAACGGTGGCGTCCTCATCTCAAGACCTTGTGTTTCTTTTGCTCTGCCAGGAGATGCCGGCCGGCGAGGGGTCCATGGGTTCCTACGTCGAACAGCGTCCCTGGGCAAAGACGTGCGGAGATGCTCAAGGGACAGGCATAAGCATGGCTTCACACGAGTCTCCCACCCTCACCGTATCTTTGCGGCCAAGGGGAAGAATCTATCACCCTCGTCCTTGCTCACCGGCTGCGTATGTCGGACGTTGGCCTGCTTTCACGCCCATGCGGGGGGCGGAAAAGCAAGGAGAGACCGCACTGCTGCCACCGCAAGATTTCTGGCCTGAACTGAGCCACATGGTCATGAAGGGTAGACCCCTGGGCCTGCAAAGAGGCTGGAGGGGTTCCCCTCTCGCCTATCACGCCCAGTGTGATATGGCAGCTGTCAAGCCTGGCACGTTTTGGGTGTGTGCTTCAACTATTTCTTCTGGAGCGCTTCTGCGAAAAAGAAGATGGACTGTGTCACCCCTTGTTGGTCTTGGCGGACGTGCCTACTCGGACGATCGGCAGGCGACCAAGGACCAAGTGACCACCAACCTGATCGCCGCCCAAAATTGCAGTACCAGAGTAGATGAATTGCTCTAGGTTTAACCTAGCTTGCTCTACAAGTATTAATGAGCGCACGCGTCACGTCTGTCTGACGGGGCATTGTCTGTCTCCTCCGAATGCCCAGAGGACTTCGAGCAGTGGACCATAGCCTAACTGCGTGGCCCCCAGACCAGCCCGGCCGAGTGGATGGATGAATAGACCAGTAGGCAGATAGGATGGGTGTAAGGAGCAATCAATCCTGGCAATGCGACTCAGGCCGCAGCCAGCTATCATTCTACATGTACGTCCCCTCCTCACCCCTCCCAAGGTGGCAAGCGAGCAGGGCCAGCAGCCAACCTGTTCCGAACTGTCGGGCAAGCTGCCGGAAGATGCGCCTGAGGTGCCCCGGCTCCGAAGACGGTTTCCATGTGCATGACACCAGCAGGAGGCACCATGCCCATCACTGCATTGCGCTTCTCCTAAATGGAGGAGAACCAGGTCACATCGTGTCCCATGGAGGCAACCCCATTAACACTCCCCCCTGCCCGTGATGCGCTCAGTACATGTCCCACAGGGATTGGGGTTGATCAGGACCGCCCCCCAATCACTGGAATCCCCTCTTTTGTTCCCGCATCCGTGTCCCTGTTACTGAGAGATTAATGTTCTGTCATTAGGGGGAGGAAACAGTAAAGGTCACAGATCGGCCGAGATTTCCGGAGCCTTCGCGCTACAAGCTTACCGTTCATTGAAGGTGGTACCGGCAGGATCAAGAGGGGTGGCAGCGATTTTCAGGAGCCAGACCAAGCAAGCCATGCCACAAGGGGTTCTCCGAAGCTCTGACTTTGAGCATAAACAAGGTTTCTTAGCAGGAAGGGGGGTAGGATCCTCAACCGCGACGGGCGGCCGTAGCCATCTATAGATCGATGTGCTTGAGTTCGATGGCTTGCTGAGTTCGACCCGTCGTCCTCCTCCCTCTCCCGCCGTACATTCATCTCCGTCAGGACCGGGGGGGGTCTCTTTGGCTGGACCCTTCTCAACGGACAGGGAGCGGACTGGTGCTCAGGATATCTGGGTCAACATGACACCACTTTGTAGGATTATCAGCCGGCAAACTTGTCTTGGCCTCTCTCGATTTTTGCCGCCTGGAGGAGCCCCAGTCAGCATCGCACCGCATCTGTTGTCGATCGTCGGCGGATCCCAGATGGCGAAGGGGATCTATTCCAGGGGTCTTGTGATGGATCCTCAGGCTGCGCATGCTTTTCCGTAGTATGTTGTATCTCGAGACACCCCTCCTAGACATACGAGGTGGGGGGCTTCCGGGGCCAACCCACCAGTGAGCAGGGAGGGGGAACAAGAGGGTTGCTCGCAACATTATTCTGAGTTGCCTGTGGTAGCAGGCGGGAGGAGGTTGCAACGTCGAGCCCAGCTCACCGGGAGCCATGCTGTCATACCTCGCTAATTCTGCGTACCTAGATACGCTGCCTCGCCTGTGGGACATCGCTTCAGACGCTACACTCTGCCCAAGAGCAAAGTATGTGAGGATATTCAGAGTGGGAAGTCTCGTTTCGTCACCGCCCGTCTCGTAACGCGCTGTTATCCGCCGATCTCTCGACCTACCTTGCTTCATCCATCACCGTGCCCTCTCTTCCACGACTCGCATGCCACTGACCCAGTCTGACCTCGTGAGGATCTTCGTCGTCAGCACATCCACCCACGATACAGGTGGAGAGGCGGATTTGTGACAGTGGAGGAGAGAGGGCTGGGCGGGCTTGGGTGCGTCCACGCCCCTCCTTTTCCGTGATCCATGTTGCCCATCCGGCGCAGAATAGGCCCTAGGAAGAGGAAGCCAGGAATCAGGGGGGTAACAAAGTGGCCAGCCTGTTCCAGGAATGGCACAACACCGGCCGGATGATCAGCTGCGTCGTGGCGGCGGCAGAAGCAGCCAACGTAGCGGATGGACGGGAGTGGTCGAGGCATGTGTGTGTGTGTGCTCGTTCATCATAGTTCCGCTCCATTCGGCCCTTGCCAGGACTTTAGTGCTAGTGAACTATGTGGTATACCTTAGCATAGCATGAAGTGTATCGTCGCCCGAGCAAGCCCGTTTGTTGTTTTTCTTGATTCTCCTCTCTTAATCAGCTACACGAGTAATGAACCCTCAGACGGCTTTCATGTACAAGAAACATGAATCACGGGGAACACAGCCCCCTTCCATAAGACTTGGCCATCACGACAGCATGGCGCCTGAACGATGTCACCCTTCTTCCGCTCTCGATCGGAGCTGGGGATTTGGGGAAACAATGTGTGAGGGATTGAACGGGCGTCATGGGCGTCATGGGCGGCATCTCGTAACCAAAGTCCCTAGCCCCCTCCTGCAGGATACGATTCAGTAATCCCCAATTCGTTTCCAATGATCCTCCTCTCACCTGGACGAGCCAGCCCGGTCCATTGCCTCCTTCCAGGCTAGGGCTGTCACTGCCGGCACCAGGAGTCGATCTTGGCGCGTCTGCACGGGCGAACAAGTGCGCCAGTATCTTCTGGTGATCCCCGTGGGTGGAGAGTGTTGCTGAAGGGGTTCGTGTCAATCAGATGGCATGGGTGACAGGCATGTTTGGAGAAGTTGTCCCTTTCATTTGCAGGCTTCATATTCCCCCGACAATGTTTCGTTCTCGAGATGCCCTGTAAGTGCGAACGTGGCAGACGACAACAGGGAAAGAAACGAAGCATAGAAATGAAATGGTATGGGACCAATGTCACCCCCCCCCCCCCGTTCCCAGAATTCCCGTCCCATGGTACTTTGGGTGATCGCCCTCGCTTCTGACCCGCCAGGCGGGAGGGAACACTCCCACTCCCACATCATCCAGCCCCCCTGACTATGAACGGATTTCACCGGTCCAGGGCCCCGATGGAGCGTTCGTCTGCGGCCGCGAGGCGCATATTGCCCATTCACGATGAGCCTTGGAGATGAGCATCATCATCATCATCGATGCAGTCAAGCTGCCCGTGTCGCTTCCGGGCTGTAGGGTATGTCGCCTATTGAAGCAGAGGGCGGATGGTCAGGGAGGATCGAGCAAATGATCCTTCATCTGTGTAATATGATCGACCCGAACAACTCTTGGCTACCAGCAAGGCTCCCAAGAAAGAATGTAACTATAATAACCATATTGTGTCTTCACGTTTGTCGGTGCCAAATTGCTATTTATCGCAGTCCAGTCCGTACAACGGTGCAGTGGATGCAACCTTGACCAGGCCTAGCGGCGCACAAGTTGTTGGAAAAGGGAATGATTGATATGACAGGGCTCTCACATATCGGGTCACAATGTGACCCAGGCGGCGGAGCTCATACGCGGCTGACATTTTAAGTTGGGGGGTCTAGGAGACCGTCTACCGCTAGACGTAGAAAACTCACCATCGTCCGGACGAATATCCATAGCGTTAGGTGAGGTTAGGTCGGTAGGATGCACTACGACGCGACGACGGTCTTCTAATCATTCACATGTCTCACAGCCGCTCCTCAGCGGCTCACCTGAGGCGAGTGGAAAAGGTGGAGGGGGGAAAAGAAATAGTCATTGGACTTGGAGCTACTCACTCTCAAACCGTTAAGTCCCAACGCTCGTCCATAACAACGCTCAGCTCCATACTCGAGGAGAACTGACCGGTCTCCTTCTTGCCTGCGGTTGACTAGACGCCTCTGTACCAGTACCTGGCCCCTGCCCATACGTGTCTTAGTGCTGTTAGTGGCCGTTGGTCATGTCTCGTCCTTCACGTGGCTTGAGACACACCTATGTCTCAGCGACCCCCAAGTTCCGATGCGACACTCGGCGGACGCGATACAAGCCACACTCCGTCCTTGCTAATAAGACACATGTCTTGTTCTCCTGCGGACTGTATGGGGCGTCACAGTCACGTTTTCTCGTGGTCAGAATGATCTGCGTATGTATGTCTGCCAAACTCTTGGCTTTTCTCGTGGTTGACTCCCCTGCCCGGCATCGTCATCCTAGCGTCTGCATGTTTCACTGAGACTTGAGTGTGCTCCGAGACGGCTGACGTTTTGACGATCATCAATCATCCTTTCCTTCTGAACAACCTCTGCCGCATACCGTGGCTTGTTCGAGACGCCTGTCGACATGTGCCAGCTATCACTAGGCCAGTTCAGACCACCACTTCGTGAGCCCTGCTCGCGGTAAATGCCATCCATGTTGACTTCCCCGAAGCAATAGCCTGCATACCCTACTGGGCCAAGGAGCAGCCACTCTCTTAGCGAGGCCGCACTTAACGTGTCGAGTGCGGCTCACATTGCTTTTTCCATAGCCTTGGAGCGCACGCACCCCTCCGTAGTCAGCCCTTGGAATTACCACTGCCGGTGTCGTTCTAGGTTGCGTCGTTGAAAGAAAAGCAAACAATACCGTGCGCCCGACTAAGCAAGTGTTGCTGCTGACGAGAAGATGACCGAAGGCCCCTGGGCTCGAGCGAAAGGGAAAAGAAGCAAGGGAGCACATTACTCCGAGAAGGCTTCCATTCACCGCCCCCAATTGTCAACCGCCCGCGCGCCAGCATGAAAAGAAAGCAAAACAAAACGCCATGCCGCAGCATGTCCGCCCGCCGATCTCCATGTCCTCGCCCCCCGAAATTCTGCGGGCGAGAAGAAACAGAGAAGCAATTCACAGCCCTCGACGGCGTGGTGCGTGGGCCTCGTAGCGTGGTGTTTGAGACAACCGTTTTGCTTCCCCGTCGCCCAGCCAGCCTCCAAGCTGGAAAACCTGGCGCTTGGGATCGTCGTCACCTTTCGGTCGCATCTGCTTGTCGCGCGTGGCATGTACTTACGAATATGCAAGTACGTACGTGCATGTGAGCGTGTGAGTGTGTGTGTTTCCACATGTGTACATGACCGTCGCCGAGCTGTACGCAAATGGACCAGATCAACAAGTAGGCTGCGTCGACGCAGGGCGCGAGCGCATCCCACACCCCCGTTGATCGAAGATGATAGACTATCGACGTCGCTTAAGCCCCAAGAGCTGCCAGGCAGAGGTCAAGAAGCGGAGGTCCGCCAGTTCGAACCCGTATGCCATGTGTCCGCGAAGGCGGCTTCTGGACTAGATGCGCAACCATGAGCGGCGGGTCCATCCTAGTGACTTTGGACATTCTGCTAAGGCAGTCATCTTGCGGTGGTCTTGTTACACGTCTTGAAATAAATTTACAAGTAGTCAAGCCAGCTTGTCGTTGCCCAATGCCCCCAAAACAAAAAAGAAACGAGAGACCGCAACAGTGAGCGAAGGGTGTAGTGATGTGAGATGCATCAAAAGCAGAAAGAATGCATGTTGTCCCCCTTCAGAACAAAGCCAGAAAAAAACGCCTTACGCCTTGCCGTACGCTCGTCTCCCACCAGCGCGTGTATCTCATATGTCCCGCAGCCTTAATCCCCCCTTGGACTCTCTCCCTTCCTCCTTCATCGGCCCGGAAGAAACAATGGACACAACCCGGCCGCCGCTATGTTTTCCCAAGCCAGTGACAAAAGAAAAAGAAATGGGGCAGGGAGGAAGCCTCCCTGCAAAGTAACGTCAAGTTATGGTATCATCCTTCTTCATCCTCCAACGTTTTCCACGTCCTCATTACTTCCTGTCCTTCCGACATAATCCAAGCCCCCCCCCCCCACCATCGCCTAGTGGCCAGCCTGCCAGAGAGCCGGACCTCCATGAGGCCCAGGACCACTGGATAAGACACGGCACGGCACGGCTCAGACGCGGGTCATTGGCTTCCTGCGTACGAGGAAGGGGCTGGGCATCTCGTCTCGCTCGGGATCCCACACAGCCGCCGGCTCACCGCCACTGGGGCGACGCTCCGCAACCCTCTCCTTGAAGTTGCGCTTTGGGCTCACGTTGAGGTTCGCGTTCTCGCCGCCAGCAGCGATGACCGCAGAGAGGGGGCGTCCGCCGGCGCGAGCCTGCTGGAGCTCCACTAGGGTGCGCCCCCTGATGTTGTTCTTCACCGCAACCTTACCAAGGGGCTCCTGATCCTTCTTGGTGACGGAGGGCTTGCGAGACAGGTTGCCCGAGGAGGTCTCGGCACCAGCGTTGTTGTTTGCCTGAAGGTTTCGTGGCCGATGGGATCTTGCTCAGACGGCGATTCGGCGACGGACAACGCTCTCCGCCGCCACGGGCTGAGTTCGGACCCTGCCCAGGGAGTGAGGGTAACGTCTTGTTCGAGTTGAGCCCCGTGGCAGAGGACATTGTCTTCATGCGTGGCACCGGAGCCGTCTTTTGCGACGTCAAGACGGGACGTGTCTTCGAGGTGAAAGGGTTCTGTCTCGATCTGATGTTGCGTGTCGGGGATGGGATGATGTCCTCATCATCCGATTCCATGAGCGTAGACTCGCGGGGCACATTCCAAACAGCATTGGCCGTGGCTGTCGCGTTGGCGCTAAAGATGTTGCCGGGATTTGTGGATGGGGCCTTGGTTGCCTCGTTGCGTCTCGGTGACAGGGACAGCGATGCGATGGCCATCGGCGAGGGCGACACCATCTCGATATCCATGGGTGTCCCGGCGTGGCCTGCAAACATGGTTTGGGCGCGGCCAAAGGGAGTGCGCGCCGTCTTCTTCGGCCCGTCGTTGGGGGCTTCCGGGCTGTCGTAGGAAAGGTCGGTGAGATCTGTCGTCGAAGGGAACTCCCCGTCTCCTTCACCATCGCCAGCGCCCACCGACGACCTCTCGTAGTCAGTCCTGTCAACAGATACAGACGAGGACATGCTTGTCTCGTGCAGCATTGGTGCTTGCAGGTTAAAGGTGGGCGCCTTCTTGCGGAGCTCCTCCTGGACACGCGAGTGCACTTCATCCTCGAATCTCTTGTTCAGTCTCTCCATCTCGAGCTGCACGAGGCGGTCAATCTCGAGACGCGCCTTGACTTCCCATTCCCTCCGCAGAGTGTTGTCGATTTCTTGGCGCGTGTAGTCCTTCTCGGCCTCGAACCTCTCCATCTTCGACTGCAGCTCCTTCTCTCTTTGGGCAAGGGCTTCCTCCTTTGCCTTGAGCATTTTGTTGAAGTCGACTGTCTCCTTCTCCTTGCGCATCAAGCGCACAATGGGGAGGTGCAGAAGCTGCGCCGTGTCGGGCGGCGGTCTGGATTCACGCGCAGACAGTCTTTGATGGTGCCCATGAGCTCTGGCGAGTAAATGTCCGGCAGCGGGTTGACCTTGCCCTCCTTGATCTTCTGTACGAGCTGGAAGTGCGTCTTTGCGTTGAACGGCGGCTCCCTGGCGCACAGCTCGTACATAATGCAGCCGAGCGACCAGATGTCCGACTTGAGCGTGTACTTTTCGGCAGCACAGATTTCTGGCGACATGTAGAATGGCGTACCGACGTAGGTTGATGCGAAGTCGTGAGACTGGATCATCTTGGCGAGGCCAAAGTCACCAAGCTTGACGGAGTTGTCTTCACCGAGAAAGACTGCAGATGGTTAGCTCGCGTGCCTCTCCCTTCCGTGAGGCCACTGTCATGTCGACTTACCATTCTCAGGCTTGAGATCGCGATGGAGGATAGTCATGGTGCCAGCAGGAACCTTTGGCCGGACCACGTTGCTAAAGAGGCCCATGGCGTTGTTGCCGGCCTCGGGGGGGTTGGTACCGTAGTGGCAGCGATACAAGGCGGTGACGAGTTGCGAGAAGATGCTCCAGACAAAGGATTCCTTGGCGCGCTCGCCCTTGACCGTTAAGTTTTTGATGATGCGACCGAGGTCGCCGTTGCCGCAGTATTCCATGTACAGGTGAAGGTCCTGGCTGGACTTGAGGTGCTCTCGGTGGAAGTAGCCGACGATGTTCTCGTGCCGTAAATGCGAGAGGATCTGGAACTCGGCGTGCAGCTGTTCACGCTCCTTGGCGGACATCTTCAGGTAGCTGATCTCCTTGCGGCACATGACGAAGTTGTCCGCCTTTCGACGGACCTTGCGGATGACGCCAAAAGATCCATGGCCTATGGAGAACAGAGAGAGCGCATGTGTCAGTGTTTGCGACGCGAAAGACAATGATGAAGATATGTGACTCGACATACCGATCTTCTCGAGGACCTCGTACTTGTCGCCCTCAGTCGTCATGATGGGCGATGCGCGATGAAAGTTGCAAGCAGGGAACACAAACTCCTAATTTCCATAGACGTCGCAGAAAGCTGTGGATAGAGTTTTGTGCTGCTTGGGTTAGTATCTGCCTGGTGTTGAGGGTGTCGAGATGGTGGTCGTGGTCATGCTTGTGCAACTTTGTGATCGCCGTCATTGGGCCTGGGTCACCAACTGGTGCATCGAGTAAACAGCTGGCGCGGGTGCCATGGCAACGGGGGGGCAGGTGGTCGGAACCTCTGTCGGCCCGCTGGTTATCGCGATAAGTTCCCGCGCGGTGCCACACCTCGGCGGTCGCGGCGCGCTTGGTGGGGGCTCATGATGACATATCCCATCGGAGGGGAGAAGGTGAAAGTGGAGCGGGCCTTGCCTCGAGTGGCGTAACGACTCTGGACCCCACCATCTCGACTCTCAGTGACAGGTGCAGGTTCGATGTGATGGATCATATTGTCATTTTCCGTATCATTTTCCATGTTGGTACATGACCTTGTTAGAGAGCAGGTCGGATATAGCCTCAGAACGTGTAGCAGCAATTTTGCTCTTGATCGTTGCTGCATTTTCTCCTATTCTCCTCATCCTCTTTCTATTCTGCCATCTATCCAGTCTCGAGTATGGTCCTACACAAAGGGCAACTGGAGGCCCAGCTGAGGGACGAGCATGTCCTCATAAAAACCGGCGTCCTTCGGGAAGAAAACCCCTTGGACCTGTCCGAGGGCTTTCACGACTTTCTCCAAGCATGCCGCCGAGGCGACCTCAAGAGATGCCAAGAGCTGATTTCCGCCGGTGTTAACATAAACGGCAAAGACAGCTTTGACTACACCCCCCTCATCGTTGTAGGTTTATGCAACATCCGTCGAGAGTAGAGTTTGTGATCCGAAGCTCTGATGCTGACCATGTCGCAAGGCGAGCTTATGTGGTCATTTCGACTTGGTCCGGCTTCTTCTCGAGTCTGGTGGGCGAACTCCCCGTGCTATCATGGTTGGCGGGCGTGCTAACATCGGTGTCGAGGTGCACTGGCGGAGCGGAATACTTTCCAAGGCGAGCGATGCATCTACAATGCCCTGAATAATCGAATCCGCAACCTGCTGCTCGAATATGATTATTCAAAGTCCACAGATCCCCTCCAGCCGTGGGCATCTCACATTACGTCTCTCCTCTCCAAAGACGTGCCCAAGACAGCCGACATTGGTCTCATCGCCGCCTCCGAATCTTTTCAGCTCCACAAATTCATCCTCGCTTCCAGATCTCCTTATTTCAAGAGGAAATTCTCGGATGCCGCAGGAACGAGGACCTGGAATCTACCAGCGACCATCCCGGCTGATGCCTTTCGCCTCGTGCTGCGCTATCTCTACCTCGGCGATATTCCGAAAGATCTTGTCGACCCACGTAGCATGGCGACCGAGGAGGAGGTTCTCACGAGCGCTGATAAGATCAGCAAGCAGCTTGAAATTGAGAAACTCTGGGAGGCGCTGCTGACGACCGATCGTCGACTGGCCCGCCAGCGGTACCAGGACGAGGTAAACCGGGCTCAGAAACAGATCGACAGTTTTTACCGGGAAAACGTCCTCCCGCATAGAATGGTCATCGACACAGAGAGGGTCAATGAGATTAAGTGGCGGCATGATAATGCCATTTTTGCCGATTGCCTGTTGCGCGCCGACGAACCCGACGACGAGCAGACACCTGAGAACGAGCCCGCCGACACGGACGCCGCGGCGAACGATAGCAGCATCCCAATCGGCCCCTTCACCAACGACAAGCCGAAGAAAACTAGGCGGTCCGTCGTGTACCCGGTACACAAGCCATGCTGCTGCGCGCCCTCTATTTTTGAGACCATGTTTTCGGGGCGAGTTCAGGGAGGCTCAGGGAGGAACAGCACCTGCACATGGGTTACGATTGACTG